ACGTTGGCATCTCTTGGAGCCATGGTCCAGGTAAGGCTCACAAAGCAGGCCTGGGCGAACCGGTATTCATGCAAAGAAATGCAGCACCCCTGCGTGGGAAGCATTTCGTTGTCATGCCACCTCCCCCAGATTTGTATTGGAAATTTAAGCAAACATAGTTGGTGGGGGGGGCGGGTAGTAGTAGTAGTAGTCGTCGTCGTCGTCGTAGTAGTAGTAGTAGTAGGTGAAGAGTAAAGAGTAAAGAGCAAAGAGTAAAGAATGAAGAGCAAAGCATCAGGTAGTTGCAGCATTCAGGGCAGCAGCCGGTGGTGATGGTGATGGTGGTGTGATTATCGTTATGATGGCACGCCGCTTTCGTCGTCTTTATTGCTGTGGTTAGAAGCATGTCACGTGCAGCTCTTCGGGCGTGGCTTGTCAAGCCGGCTTGTTTTTTTCGTTTATTTTAGTTGCGAGGAAGGCAAATGAAAACCATGGAGGACTGTGCGCAGCCGTTTGCTTTTGCCTGCGCTGCCCTGTGCAGATTCAAGCATGGCGGTGCCGGATTCTTACGCCATCCAGGAGCGCTGACAGCATCGGGCCATTTCAGCTGATAGATTTGCAGTTGGTACCGTTTTGGAGCTGGCCAACTTACCAGTCCCAACCTTCCTTACACCTGGATTCTGGGCTGGTGGCAGGAGGTGGCGGAAGCGGCGCCGAGATCTCGAGCGAAGGACCCTCGTGATTCCACACTGCTCGGATGTTGTTGTTAGTACAGGTGATGTTCAGAGAAGGGCAAGCCATTGGCATTGTGCCAGCGTGATGATCTTGCCTCAACTAGACATTGTCAGATACGGAGATACGTAGATAGATAGGTAGACGGGTACATAGATAGGTAAAGGATCGGTAGATAGATGGATACACAGTATGTCAGCCTGAAAAATCCATGCAGCCATTTGTGTATCTATCTTCGTGACGTATTTGTCTATGTCCTCGTCTATTGGTCTATGTATGTCTCTATGTGTTTCTCAATGTATCCACCTGCGCATGTATCCATGTGCATCTGGATGGGCAGAATGGCAAGCAGGAAGTAAAAACTTGGTGGAGATGCGATCCGTACTGTCGTACTTCCTTGTAATGAGCTTGCATCACAACAGGCCGCATCCCAAAGTATGACAGCAAGAGCAGCCACTTGGGGCGGACCGGTCGGGGCAGAAACAACAAAAGTCGGCTTCTGCAGTGCCGAAAACAAAAAGGAGGTGTATGGCACATGCAAGCAAGACCGCGTACCTTCTCAAAATGTGCACACGCACGGCAGAACCATATGAATGACTAGAACTTACTGAGTTGTGAACTCACAGTCACGTTGTGTTGTTTCTTCATATCTTCTTAGGGATGATTCTTCCTGGGAGTCTCGATAGAAGTACGCAAGTTGAGCCAGGCAGACCTGTTTCTGCAGAGCAGGAGTTTACTGAACAGCGCCTTGCACAGACGCTGCAGTTGCCGCTTGAAGTTGTCAAGCAGGCGTGATGTGGGACATGTGCATCCATCACGACAGCTGTAAAAAGTTGTGCGGCTTGCAAGCTACACAAGGCGGCTCACTGCTTCCGGCAGCATGCCACATGGCCGCACAAGTCTGATATTCAGCATCCACGCAAAGCGCAGTCAACCTTGGAAGAACTTAACTTGATTTGTAGAGATGCTGCCCCCAGTGTTCATACAGCCTCTTACGTTCGGTCCAGTAAATGGCCTGAATGGCCGCAGACTTCCATTCTGCTAGTATGAGCCCATCATCATTAGCTGAGTCGTGTTTCTCACCAGAACAGTCCTGACAGACGGAAGTCCACACGTTGCACACAGGCAGCATGTGATCCTCCTAAGCGTCCGGACTTGTGGCGAAGCCTGGCTGCGTTAACATTCTGCAAGCCAGAGGCATTGGTCATATGACAATTGTGTTGCAGGCTTCGGGCAAGTCTCAAGATGGAAAGCTTCCAATCTGATGTGATACCTGCAACTAGCAAGGGTATGATGTCTTGGTCAATCCAGTATTTCATGGCCGCGTGTGCACTTATCCAGTCATCGAATCTTAGCCAAGGATTGAAACAGTCCGATTTCGAGAAGGCATTGCTGCAAGTTTCTAAGCGTTTCTGGTTCAGCTAGCAGGTCAAGGATTCTGCATGGCTTTGATGGCGATTTTTGCTTAGTGGTTTGAGTTAAAACAGACTGTTTTGCCCAGCCCACCAGAAATCACGTACGAGTCCTGCCAGTAGACCTGGAAAGCCGAGAAACAGTCCTGAGCTCTGGGAAGTCGGAGCAATCAAGAGGGGCATTACAAAGACTTCCAGGCTTTAGACTCGCGTCATCTTCAGCTGGCCAGGTCCTCTGCGATTTGTGTTCGGTGGCAAACACCCAAGAGCTCCCGCAGCACTTCGTTTCCAAGGCCGGCTGAGGGTTGAAACGGATTATATGAGGAAATGTGTGAGGAGTCGTGTGAGGAGTTGTGTGAAGTGCCTTTCCAAACTTTGGCTACGACAGCGTTTTCATCATTTTCTCGTGATGCTGTCTAAGATTCTGTAACATCATCCATGGTATGTGTGTTCACCATAGCATGCACTTCACCAAGAGCATGCCGTGATTTCGCTGTCTTGTATTTGAAATTACTGTGGAGACAACTTGCCCGAAAAGGCTTTCAGGCTTGCGGACATGACGAAGAGTGGAGACCTGGATCTCCAGGAGATCTCGGGGTCATGCCCTTGCCATCAAGTAATTTCACGTCACCAATGGGGCATTGATTTATGTGAGCTTGCGTGCTGAGGCAGTCATCGTTTGCACAAGACTTGAGGTACAGCATGTCAGCCTCGTGAGAGTTTAGTGGCCCTGAAAGAGTTAGTTTAGTAGGAATACCGATGAATTGTCGTGTTCTGGCAATCGTGTCTTGCTAGGAGTTTGTGACTTGGTATGCCACCTTCAGCTTCTCGGAGGACCCCTCAAGACATCACGTCCGCCTTATGCATCATGTGCAATCCATGACCCATACTTTTTGACATTTCTGAAGAATGAGCAATGGAGGTTTTGATGCAGGTTGCTCCGCAAACTGGCTTGAAGCGGTTCCAGCATAGGTCAGCAGGCAAGTACGAATTGGTGAGGTTTTCAGTTTGATGTGCCTTTCACGCATCGCAAAGTTTCGATGACTTTGTCACGCGAATTCGCATTGTTGTGATCCTAATCTGTCATCCGCTTGGACCGACCGTGAGACTTTTGCACGTTTGTGGGTGGAAAACGGTATGTGGCGATGCCAGCCGAGAACACAACGCCGATGCGGAATAAAGCGAAGCATGGCTAATAAAACGTGCATGGACAAAAGCTCGGTCGCGCAGCATCTTATCAGGAAATTCATACTGCAACTTGAAAGAGAATCTCCGACATTTTGCTTGGAGGAGCATGTACGCTATCCAGGTCCCAACCTGAATGTGATTGCTTCTGGAAGTCCAGCCAGAGCAAGAGACAGGGCCTGCTCAAAGTTGCTTTCGTGTGTTTCCCAAATGCTGAAATGACACTGCTTGACTCAACCTCTTGTGCATTGGATGAACCTTGGGGAGACGCACAGTCACGATGAAGGATTCAGTTTTGGGCTGTAAAGCTTGAGATTTCTTCGCCTACATGAAGCAGGCAACCGATTTTCTGTTTATCTGCTTTTGGAGTATTCTACGTGCACGCGCCTCCAGCTGGCTTTCATGGTACAGTCGCACCGTAGCCTAACCCCCCCCCCCTCGACTGCACGTTATGCGCCCAGCAGCTTATGAGCAAGCCCAGCAATGGTTGGGATGGCCAAGCTAAGCTTCTGAAGAAATCCTGGCCAAATGGTACAACCACCAGCTGAAGCCGACGAAAACAGCATGCACGCCAGGTAAGACCATGCTAATCCCAGTTTTGGGACAGGTCCCTCACCAGGCACAAGGCATAAGCAGTTGTACGCAACGGAGAGACTGTACGTCACCATGCTGCATCATCGGTTCGGGCGGACCATAGATTGCAACAGGAAAACAGGACTGCGTTTTGCAAGCTGTTCTGATGAAAATACGATTGTCCACTTGCAGGAGCTGCTCCTTGGGAAGTCAACCAAGAATGTTCGGTCTGCCACTGGGCAGAGTTGCAGTGGCTGTTCAAGCATGATGCTTGCAAAGTAAAAGATAAGTCAGTTGTTCAGATTTTGCAAGGGTGTGCTGTGTCATCCATGACATCAAGGCTTTTCTGAGCACTTTTTGTCACGAGAGATTCACTTCAACTGCATCAGCGCGAATTGAAGGGCTTGGAAAATGTCAGGTTGCCAGAACTCTGGGGATCAATTTGCTGGACATCGAGCGGTACAAGCGTGTCTTTGACAGCTACGACAAAGACAAAAGTGGTGTTATTGAGACACCTGGCTACTGAAAAATTTGATGCCTTACAGGTGCAAAGTTACAGTTGAAGTTGAATTGAAGATATTAAAGTCATCTAGTAATGAGAGCAGGGATGATCACTGGGATGGACCCTAGCCCTTCTACTCAGATCAGAAATGATTGGCTGCGGCCCAGTTTTGACATGTCGCCTGCTACTGCATGTCCCAGCATGAGAAGGATGGCAGAGTTTCGGCTGATGGTGAATCGATTGCTCAAGGCAGGGATCAGCATCAAGTTCACTGAGTGTTCATCATCGGAATGAACTGAATTGCTGTGGCTTCGAATGGGTTCAGCGGCAGCGCATTTTAGCAATTAGATTACACGCACGGCGGCTTCTGCAAAAGCCAGCTTCTTCGAGCTTGCGAGAGTTCTTGTTTACCAAATATATGGCCATATCAGAGATTACGACTCTTTTAGTGGAGCAGGAAAACCAAAATTTAGGAGTCTTGCGTAAGCAATGCCCCCTAGTAACGCTGGTAATGCATGATTTTTTCGGACCAGTGATCATTTTTCATTTGGCAGCAAGCACTGCGTTGGTGTTGCTGCGAGTGTCGACCGTGCTGCTCAAGTGCAGCTGCTGGGCCAAGCTGCAGGAACTGTAGTGCAAGAAGCATGTCAGCTGCAGGTGCCGGCAGGACATCACTTGCCGTTATCTGTGGAAGCTTGTCCGCATAATCACACAAAAATAGGCTTGATTCTGGTCGTTGACTTCGTGCTTTGTTTGTGTTGGTTCCCGTTTGGACTTGGAAGCATATGTGGGTCAGTTTGCTTAAGGATGCAAATTGGATGGAAATAATCAGTTTGTTTGCATTCTACCCGCAGCATGTGTGGGGTAGATAGAAGGGGTAGGACGGGTGTCTGCTGCCATCCTCAGGTGAAAAGCTTCTGGAACATGGCCGACAGCCACTTGCCACCAAGTGGTGTAGCGTTGATTGTTGCTTGTTTTTCTGTACCCTAGCAGGAGGTGAGTTCTGTGTGTGATAGTTAAAGCAGACTTGACCATATCCAGTGACTTTCTGCTGGGGTCCGGCTTTCAGATTTTTGTTTTTCTTTTAATGGTTGTGGTGAGGTGTTTCAGGCATCGGGCATGATTACATGCAAGGCCGGTTCCCGGAAAGTTGTTCTCACCCTGAAGCTGGGAAAATCTGGCTTCTGGTTAACCATTGCAGCAGCCTCCTTTAGACTGGTTCTCCTGTGCACCATCTTGTTTTTTGAATGCAAGCTTGACAGCACTGCTCGGACAGTGGCAACATGATTGCCAAAGGTGATGGAAATGGCGAGATCGATTTCCCGGAGTTCTGCGAGTTCTATTTGACATGTGGTTGCATTGCCATGTACACTGCATAATGTGATGATGATCATCTCCCCGCTGTGGCGTCAGCAATCAGCTACGTTTGTTTGCATGTCGCCGCAGAGAACCTGACATGGACCCAAATGTTGTTCAGGAAAGTTTTCCTGAAGGATGAGGGAGGTTTCCAGCTGAGTGACCTGTACAGAGACATTCGAAAAGTTCCGGTCAACAGCCGGCATGTTGCAGGCTCATAGCCTGTCATTTGTGCACTTGATCAACTCTTGTTGCCATCAGTTCTCAGAATTGAGAACGTTGTGGAAGGTTCTGGCGTAGCCATTTACGCTACATGTTTTGTGCATTCGCCGAATGGCGTCGGGATGTTTTTGCTTTGGAAGCAGAGTCCATGAACATTTGCAGTTGTGATCAAGCACAATGGCATCGAGCAGACTCTTTAACGCACAAGAAAGCAGCAGCGCATATGTTTGGACCTTGTGAAGAAGGTCTGGAAGGCGTATGCTGGACTTTGCCTCAAATTGTGCGTCAAGCACTGAAGAGCGGCGTGTTCTGGCACTCACTTACAGACAGCCTATATCCTTTTGCAACATTGTCGGGCTGCAACGTGAAATGTGACTTGGTTTCTTTACGCATCAAATGAAATGCCGCTTGTATTTGCAGTCCCTTTCAATACCCGCCTGCTATTCTCAGAAGAGATGCGAGGATGGGTTCTGGCTGTGGCTCCGGCCTTTGTTTTTAAGCTTAGTACTCGGCCACATTGCACGTTAGTAGCAAGTGTGTTCGCACACTTGCTTTCAGAATCTTCCAGGTCCCTTCCTGCCCTTAAGGGGTTGCATGACATGTCAGAAAAGCAGCTGGTAGCAGGAGATGGTTCTACAAGCAAATCAGTGCCGTGCATTCGCGTACAAACCCAAGCAGGTCTGCGTTTGTTTACTTCTTCTATCAGGAAGGGCTCATCTGAACTGCAAGTTGCCGCTGTTGCTTACGGCTCTGTCAGTGCTTGAGCCAAGTGGCGTCCGGGCATTGGTCTGCAAGGCACAGGGCTGGGTTTCATTTGCTCAGCCTTCGGAGCGGTAGCATGTAGCTAGAGCCACACTGGCTAATTACTTCCGGTCCGAAGTGTGTTTTGCCCATGCAGTTTCTTACCTTAACGAAAGACGGTCCGCTGCTCCAGGTGGGTGGTCACCATGGGAGTCAAGAAGGCAACTACAAGGCAATGGTCGCTAGTTGAATGGGTGCCAACGCGGGATTCAGGAGACAAGCGAAGCGAGCTCAAGAGCTCCAGTAAGGAAGGCTTGAGTGAATGTTGAAAACTGGGTTTCAAGCAGGTCATCATCGTTGCGGCGCAGCCAAGTAATACACACAACGTAATGCTACGGCGCGCCGATGGCTGGAAGAGTTTCCTGGTCAAGCTAGGCCCGTTATCTGCTGCACAGGCAGGCGTTGCTTTGTCCGAAACCTGGCCGCCTGCTGCTGCGAAAGCTCGGCACTCAGAGACTGCTTAGGTTGCAGCCGCTCTCCCTCCGCCCGAGGAGACGGCAACACATTGCAAGACCATACGAGACTCCTCCTAGTTTTCGGGGAAGACTCTGATGCTGGTTTGTCTCCATGAATCAACTACACTGGCCAGTGGTAAGCGCATGCCGTGGTATACGGTTACTCCAGCTGCAGTTCTTAGATGAAATGCGCAGGAAACTGTTCAGATTTGATCCACTCCATTTCCGGAACCTCTGATAGTATCCTCTAGACACGGCCGTCAGATGTTGCCTTTGAATTCATTCCGCCAGAGTGTGGGATGATGCGCTGGATCCTGTCATGACATCCAGGCATCTCCCAAAGAGGAAGAGGCTTTCACGCGGGACAACTCCGCTTGTGTCCAGGCCCCTTGCGGCTGTTCTGATCCTATGCACAGCACAAGGTGGCAAAATATTGGCAAGGAGTCCGTTTCCTATGCTGTAATAGTGCTTGCCAACTGAGCAAAGCCTTGCTTGGCACCGCTGCAGACAGCTGCAGGGCATGGTGGTCAGAGCTTCCAGGCTGGATTGCCCTTCATGCAGAGCTCGGCACCCCAGAGTTTCGTGTTTGTTGGCTTTGCAGCTTTTCGTCCTGTCTGTTGCGAAAGAGGCAATGTTAGTTTCTCAGACGAAATCCCGGGGCCCGTTTCTAGGCAGTAAGTGAGTAAGCAAGTCCAAAAGGACCTCTCATTACCTGGAGTTAGAGCGCCCAGCCTGGTCCACCTACCGCTCCGCTCAGCATCGCTATCAGAAGGAATGCTTGAAGGGTGCTGTGCAGGTACACTGTCCCTACAATTTCTTACCTTCTGTAAGAGCTTCTTACTGTTCTGCGTCGTTGCCGGCCTAGGAGGGGACCAGTGCGCAAGTGCTGGGAAGGTCATCGGCTGGTTCTCGACAGCCAGGACAGGAAGTGCTCCAGGGCAGTAGTGCACGCGGCTTCTGGACTGTCGAGGTATGCATAACTTAACCCCTCAAATGACGATTTCGCCTGATCCCATCGGGTGTCGCCTGCCAACACATGCTGGTCTTGGGAGGATTCAACCATGCATTCCGGGTTTTGGCGAAGCGGTTTAAGTGGCCATTTCGTTGTAGCTCTTTGGGTCTGGTCTGTATCTTTAGAAATGGCTCTTTTGGTGGCAAGAATCGAAAAGACTGCTGCTGCTGCTGCTTCTGCTGCTGCTGCTGCTGTCATGTAGTTTGGCTTCCCGAAAGCATCCGATCACCAGAGCATCCATGCCCAAACCCACATTAACGTTCATCAAACTAGAATGAGGTTCATTCCTAAGGGCATTCCGCTTCCGGAGCATCCTTGCCCAAAGCAGAAGCAGGTGCCTGCCTCAGAGCATATGGTGACCGTGACCACTTGGATGGGCGGGTGGGTTG